GCCTTGAGCCGTCGGCCCTGTCAAATTGTTACAGGAATCCAAAAATCACTTTTTATGTAAAATGTTTAGTTTCCTAATGTTGGCACTAAACTAAACAATTTTTTAAAAAGCATCATACAGGAGTAAATCTGAATCTTTCCCTTCAGAATCATTTGACGTTTTTCTTTTTTGTAGCTAACATATATTGGAGTTATAATCTAAAAATACAGTGAGATCACTTCACTTCTCTGAGATAGTTTCACATCTGTGAAGTGAATGGGTAGGATTAGAATGATTGCTAAAGTCAGTGTCAGTTTTAACCTCTGAATTTATTAAAACACAAGTGCCATGAGAACCCAAGCCCACAGCATTTTTAAAGAAAAAGAAAAAAAAAAAAAGACCCCAAGCCAGGCATAGTAGCTCATGCCTATAATCCTCACACTCTGAGAGGCTGAGGCAGGTAGACTGCTTGAGCTCATAAGTTCGAGACCAGCCTGAGCAAAACCAAGACCTAGTCTCTACTAAAAATAGGAAAACCGCCCCCTGACTCTCAGGAGAAGAATGGTTTTAACCCGGAATTATGAGTAAACTGTTAATTCAGAAATGTATTTGGGAAATAAGCCAAGCGAGAGGTCATGGGTCAACTGTTAACCAAGTTAAAGTCGAAAAGACAATACACTACTTTTTCAGTTTTTGTCTTTCCTTTGCTATATGTTATTTTTTGCTATTTCCTTATGGCTTAGAATGTAAAACTGAGTGTTTTGTTCTGAATAAATATTTATCTTTTGTGTTGCTAAAAAAAAAAAAAAAATAGGAAAACCAGGCCAGAGGCATGCTTGAATCCAAGAGTTGGAGGTTGCTGTGAGCTATGATGCCATAGCACTCTACCAAGGGTAACAGTTTGAGACTCTGTCTCAAAAAAAGGAGGTGGGGGGGAGGGCAGGTAAAGGGGCAGTGCCTATGGCTCAGTGGGTAGGGCACTGGCCCCTTATTCCAAGGGTGGCAGGGTTGGACTGGCCAGGCCAAACTGCAGCAGGAAAAATGGCCAAGCATTGTGGCAGGCACCTGTGATCCCAGCTACTGCGGGGGTGGTGGTGGTGGGTGAGGTGAGAGAGTCGCATAGGCCCAGGAGTTGGAGGTTGCTGTGAGCTGTGTGACGCTGTGGTACTCAACTGAGGGTGATGAAGTGAGATTGTCTCTACCAAAAAAAAAAAAAAAAAAAAAAAGCAGCCCAGGAATTGGTTAGCAATTGAAGGAAATAATGCTTAATTCTGAGCAAAAATTGCTAGACTCTCTGCAAACACATACATGAAACATATATGAAAAAAAGGAATTAAAAAAAAAGAACACAGAAGGAATAACATACACAAACTTAAGCAATCAAGTTTGTTTAAAGGAAAACCAAACTTTAACAAACCTCAACACTAAGGATGTCAAACTTCTCTCTTACAGACTTGATGCTTTCTCTCTTCTTGATTTTCAACGTTTTTGTTTTTGCCGGCTCTTTCTGGCCCTTTTTCCTTTTGGTGGATTTCTCTTCAGTAGAAATCTAAAGAGGAAAAAGGACCCACAAAAATCCAAAAGATTAGGCAGCAATCCTGGCCTTTTCCTCCTATTTCAGGTCATATTCGATCTTGTTTTGTTACTTCCCCACTCCATTCCACTCTACTCCACTCTGCCCCACTCTTAACTGTTCCTTTAATTCTTGCTTTAATCCCAACTTTCCTATTTGGCCACCAATGCTCCCTTTTCCAAAGGTCTGAGAAGCCTCTTTCATGTTCCCAAAGTTTCTTCTCTCCTGTGTTCATCCTCTCTTGAGATGAGCATTGGGGTTCCCCAGCTTGAGAAGCAATGTAGAACAGTACATGAAAACATAAGCTGGAGCCATGGAAACCCAAGTTAAACTCCCAACTCTACCATAACAAACTAAGTGGTTTCACCTAAAGCATATAATGTCTCTAAGCCTCAGGTCCTCATCATGGAATTCTAATCTCTACTTCATAGAAAGTTGGAAAGATTACATAATATAGTATAAAGCCATGCACTCAACCACTAGTTCCCTTCTCCCTAGCATCTGGAGCACAGCCTAGTGTAGGTGCAAATTCTAACCAAATATTAACCATTATAGGTGACAAGGACTCCATCTGAAAATACAGTGATCAGCTAGGGTGCAGTGGCTCATGCCTGTAGTCCCAGCTGGTCCTGCTGCATGGGAGACCAGTACGAGGGGACTGCTTAAGCCTAAGAGTTTAAGTCCAGCCTGGGCAACAGGGTAAAACTTCCTCACCTAAAAAAATAAAACAAAAATAGGCAGCACCCGTAGCTCAGTGGGTAGGGTGCCAGCCACATACATCGAGGCTGGCGGGTTCAAACCCGGCCCAGGCCAGCTAAAACAATGACAATTGCAACAACAACAACAACAAAAATAGCCGGGGCTCAGCATCCATAACACAGTGAGTGGGGGCGCCAGACTGCTAAACAATGACAACTGCAACCAAAATAGCAGAGCATTGTGGCGGGTGCCTATAGTCCCAGCTACTTGGGAGGCTGAGGCAAGAGAATCACTTAAACCTGAGAGTTTGAGGTTGCTGTGAGCTGAGATGCCACAGCACTCTATTGAGGGTGATATAGTGAGACTGTCTCAAAAAAAAAAAAATACATACATATATATATAGAGAGAGAGAGAGAGCGCGCTAGAGAGAGCTGGGCATTGTGGCAGGCACCTGTAGTCCCAGCTACTTGAGAGGCTGAGGCAAAAGAATCACTTACGCCCAAGAGTTTGAGGTTGCTGTGAGCTGTGATGCCACAGCACTCTACCAGGCCAACAGCTTGAGACTATGTCTCACAAAAGAAACAACAACAACAAAAAATGATCAAACCACTTCCTCCCCATTCTTAATCAACATGCACAGAGTCCCTAACAACAAGGAACAAAAACGTTTCAAACTCAAATACTAACTGCCATGCTCCAAAAGATACCGCTTTGTGGTATGGCCTCTTTAACAAATTCGATATATAGAACTGAACTTCAACAAGAAACAAACACGGAAAATAACATATTCTCAAGTTAGGTTCATCCTTCACAAGACACTATAGTGAAATTTCCAGTGAGTTTCACCAAATAAGCATAACGCTTACATCAAATAAGTTGTCTTGTTCAACTGACTTCTGTAAAGCCTTTTCTGATTTGTGAGTCTTTCTTGTACCCCCTCGGGGGAAGCTTTCTTCCAGGGTTGCCATGTTTGAGTCTCCTAAAAAGAATGCAGAGATTAATGGTGAGATGTAACAATGGTGGCAGATTTCATAAAGGTTGTGCTCAATGAACAAAACAGAACATTCTAGCAATGTGTTAGACAATATTCAGAACTATGACAAAGATGGTTGAGATGTCAGGCCCCTAATAATCCATAGGCCAACTTTCCAAAGGTCTTCGCTTTAAAAAGTCCACACATCTTCCAAAGGATGAGTTATAGATTCAACATAGTCAATACTCATTAAGCAACTACAGTTATGTCAGAGATACACAAATGAACATAACCCCCTACCTTCAAAGAACACACATGCTTTCTACCAGATAAAACAATCATGCAGGGCAGCGCCTGTGGCTCAATGGGTAGGGTGCCAGCCCCATATACGGAGGGTGGGGGGTTCAAACCCAGACCGGCCAAGTGCAACAAAAAAATAGCTGGGCATTGTGGCGGCGCCTGCAGTCCCAGCTACTCGGGAGGCTGAGGCAAGAGAATTGCCTAAGCCCAGGAGTTGGAGGTTGCTGTGAGCTGTATGATGCCACAGCACTCTACCAAGGGTGACAAAGTGAGACTCTGTCTCTACCAAAATAAGAAAAAAAAAATCATGCAAGTACATTAGAATCTCCACAGTTGGCCACCTCCCTGAGTTGACCTAATTTTCATAAACCCAACATATACCACATGTACAAATCAGTACAGTAGGCCTACCTCCTTATACTGACCACCTCCCTATGTTGATCAGTGTGTTACAGTCCCTTGGGTGGTCAACTCACAGAGGTTCTATGGGTGCTCAACTTACAGAGGTTCTACTGTAATTTAAAATACAAATTGGATTATAAACTAGCAACAAAGAGATAGGAAGTGATGAGGCTTCAATAAAAGAAGTAAGCTTCATAAAGAAATTCCCCCAGCCTGAGCAAAGTGAGACCCCGTCTCTACTAAAAGCAGAGTAACAGAGGGGAGCTCAAGCTATGATGCCACAGCTCTCAACCCCAGGGCGTCTGAGACTCTGTCTGGGGGGTGAGGGGAGTAGAAGTTCCTTTTGAGCTGAAAGTTGTAAGAAGAATAAGAAGAATGTGGGCGGTGCCTGTGGCTCAGTGGGTAAGGCGCCGGCCCCATATACCAAGGGTGGAGGGTTCGACCCTGGCCCCAGCCAAACTGCAACAAAAAAAATAGCCGGGTGTTGTGGCGGGCGCTTGTAGTCCCAGCTTACCCGGGAGGCTGAGGCAAGAGAATCACCGAAGTCCAGGAGTTGGAGATTGCTTTGAGCAGTGACGCCACAGCACTCTACCGAGAGCGATAAAGTGAGACTCTGTCTCAAAAAAACAAACCAAAAAAAAAAAGTAAAGGGCAAGGGGTCCAGTTTGATGGGAATTTGGCCTTTAATATTATTTCAGACAAGGAGAAGCTGAGGTTCCAAAAAGTAAACCTGCTTTGGAGCAGGGATCAGGTGGCCGAACCACTCACCAGGCACGTTAGGTGCCTGGCAGGTACCAGGGGACCCAGCCCTGGGACAGGCCAGAGAGCAGCGAGGTTCCTCCCTTCTCACCTCTGCCCTTACTCACCAGCCCCGCAGCTCCAGCACCTCCTTGCAACGGAGCCCACGCCACCGTAACACACGCGGAGACCTGAACACCTACAACCCCATGCCACTCTTCCGGAAGCCTGGGCGGGCTCGACGCACTACTTCCGTTGCTATGTTGCGGCCCACAGGCGGGGGAGGTGCTATGGAGACAGGAAGCGGAAAGGCGGGACTTCGAGCCGTGGCCAATCGACGCCGGGAGCTGAATCGTTTCTGCTCGGTGAACGCTGGTGGGGGAGGAAGGGCTTTTTCCGGCTGGACCGAGGGGCGGCTGGGAACCTTGAAGGGCACTGGTTGCGGAATTTGTGGCTTTGGCGAGGTGGGTGAGGTAAGGAGTCCGGGCGGGGACTTCGCGCCGCCATATGGCTGGGCTGGCCTAAGATCTGACCGTTTTGGTTGGGGGAACACCGCGAGGTCTTCGTTTTAGAGGGCAAGAACGGTGGGGAGTAGGAGAGGAGCTAGGGAAAACGAGAGGATACGGGGAGGCTGGCTGAGTGGGCTGAGAGACCCACCCAAAGGCTTCCACAGTTCCCGAGGACCCTTAGATTGCATTTTCTAGTAGGGAAAAATAAGGCCTTGGGCAGAAACAGTCCCTCAAGGTCACCCAGTGTTTGATCGAGGATGTGGGCTTCTGACCCGATCTCTGGCCTTTCCTCTGTATGCCCCTAGCTGGCTGTTTCCGCCTGGCCATCCAAGCCTCCTTTTAGCTGCGTGGCAGCCTTTGTCAAAGCGACAGTGTAGCCCGTCCTCTGCAGCTCTCCAGGCCCGCGGTAACGGGTTAGATTTCAGTCTTTATTCAAATCAGTGGGAAGGCCTTTCCTAAGAGGTAGCCAGCACCGAGAGCTGTAAACTAACTCCTTGTCGTGCAAGAGGCTGCTTCTGACAGCTGAGCGTCTCTCGTTCGACTTTGCCTTCTTTTACCTCGTGATCTCACCATTCCAGGTAGGTGTCCAGTCGGAGAATAGCAATATCGAGGAACATGGAAAGTAGCAAGGGCCAGTGGTTACTTTAAGACTTTAATGAAATGCCCATTTAACAGATGGAAAGAGGTATGGAGGGATTCCTTGTATATAGTAGCGGTTAGCAGCTTAATTAAAAACAAAAAGAAAGGCCCAGTTCCCTTGGACTTTCCCACGGGCCATCACTTAACAATATTAAATCAAACTATGAGTCTTACAAAGGTCACTCTAAAACAAATGTTTCTGATCTTTACCCTTAAGTAACCTGCAGTTTACTAAAGAGTGCAGACCCAATTTTTTTTGGTCTTATTCCTTTTTATCGCTCCAGCGACACCCCCATTCTGCGTTCTCTCTCCATTTCAGCTTCTTAAGAGCCTTCTTTTTTTTTAAGACCCAGTCTAAATTTCCCAGATTATGCCTTTGCTTGCAGTCAGAAGTAGTCTTCTGTGGAAGGTTATGAATATCAGCCTTCCTCCCATGGTGCGTAAATTGAAGAGAAATTTAAGGCATCTTTATAGCGTTGAGCATGCTCGCTTTTTATTTTTTAATTGTTGGAAATTCATTGAGACAAGAAAGCAGGTTACACTGATTGCATTTGTTAGGTTAAGTCCCTCTTACAATTGTGTCTTGCCCCCAAAAGGTGTGGCACACCCCAAGACCCAACCCCTTCCCTCCTCTCTCTCTCTCTGCTCTTCCTTTTGAGCATGCTCTCTTAAAAAGTTTTGTTAGACACAAGGTAGTGGAGGGTTATCATTTAATGATTTGATAACGTTAAGCCCTTGTTTTCTATAGGGTTTCTCTTAGAAACCTATTTCATACCACAAGAAATGAATCCTAAAATGTATCATGAAATAAATAGATTAAAAAGTATGCCTTTAATAAATTTAGTAAAATAAAACAGTTGACATTAAAACTATATCATAAGTTTTTGTTTGTTTGTTTTTGAGACTAAGCCTTACTTTGTCACCCTCCTTAAAGTGCTGTGGCACCATAGTTCACAACAACCTCAAACTCTTGGGCTCAAATGATTCTCTTGCCTCAGCCTTCCAAATAGCTGGGACTACAGGTGCCTGCCACAGTGCCCGGCGTTTTTTTATAGACGAGGTCTTGCTCTTGCTCAGGCTGGTCTCCAACCCGTGAGCTCAGGCAATTCACCCACCTGGGCCTCCCAAAGTGCTAGGATTACAGGTGGGAGCCACTGCTCCTGGCTTTTTTTTTTTTTTTTTTAAATGGAGATTTTCCCACTTGGACTAGACTGATCAAGGCCACTTAAGGAACTTTAAGAATTTTGGCTTTTCTTCATAGTTCCAGTATCTTCTTGAAAGTTTAAAAAATTAAGCTCATTTGTCTCAAATTTTCATTGCCAATTCTTTGCAGAAGAATGCCTTTAAAGGCCTTTGAATGGTAAACACTGAAGTTCCAGTTCCAAAGAAACCACTTCCTCCCAGGCCTCTCCCTCTTGCATTTTGTGAAGAGCCAGCTGAGTCTCTGGCTATCAATCTCAACCAGACCTTGACTGGTTTGTCTGTATTGGCAGTTCACTCAGCATGGCTTTGGTTGGTAGATAGGTGGTCGGTCATACATAGGAATTTTCAACTCTTGTCCTGGTGACCTTTTGAATATGTTTTTGCTATTTTTTTTATTATAAAAGAAATACATGGCTTTGTAAAATACACAGGTATTAATAATTAGCACCTCTTAAAAGTTTGATACATAGTTCTTTTTTTTTTTTGGAGACAGGGTCTCACTATGTCGCCCTCCGTAGATTGCTGTGGCATCCCAGCTCATGGCAACCTCAAACTCTTGGGCATAAGCAATTCTCTTGCTCTGCCTCCCAAGTACCTGGGACTACAGGCACCTGCCACAATGCCTGGCTACTTTTTGGTTGTAGTTGTCATTGTTGTTTGGCAGGCCTGGGCTGGGTTTGAACCTGCCAGCTCTGGTGTATGTGTCTGGCATCCTAGCCACTGAGCTACAGGCACCAAGCCTGATACATAATTCTTGCAGAGTTGTTTTTTTTTCAATATATGTAAGTAGATACTTGTTTTTGTTTTTATTACTGCAGTATTTTTTAAACTTAATTGTTTATCAGATTTACCTAGAGGCCTTATTGAAACTGGTTGCCAGGCCCCAAAGTCTGTGATTCAATAAACTGAGATAGGACCTAGAAATCTGCACTAACAAGTTTCCAGTAATTTTTCCTTTCTTTTTTTTTTTTTTTTTTTTTTTGAGAGAGTCTCAAGCTGTCATCCTGGGTAGAGTGCTCTGGCGTCACAGCTCACAGCAACCTCAGACTCTTAGGCTCTAGCAATTCTCTTGCCTCAGCCTCCCAAGTAGCTGGGACTACAGATGCCTGCAGTGGTTGTAGTTGTCATTGTTGTTTTAGCTGGCCTGGGCTGGGTTTGAACCTGAGAGTTTGGGGATGTGTGACTGGCCACTGAGCTCTAGGCGCCACCCAGTTCCCAGTAATGTTAATGCTGCTGGTCTGGAACCAGACTTTGATTTTTTTTTTTTTTTTAGAGACAGTCTTACCGTGTCACCCTTGGTAGAATGCCATGGCGTCACAGCTCACAGCAACTTCCAGCTCTTGGGCTTAGGCAATTCTCTGCCTCCTGAGTAGCTGGGACTACAGTGCCTGCCACAACGCCCAGCTATTTTTTGTTGGAGTTTGTATGTGGGTCCAGTGCCCTACTCACTGAGCCACAGGTGCTGCCCAGGGACCAGACTTTGAGAACCACTGATATGCTTTATAAAATTAAATAATTACCAGTCTCCCATAGGTGGCCTTTTAGTTTTTCTAGTTTTTTACTTTCATAAACAGTATTTCAGTAACCATTCTTGAACCATATAACGTATTTCCACTTAATGTTTTTTGTTTTTCTTTTTTTCTTGAGACAGAGTCTCAAGCTGTCCACTTAGATAGAGTACCGTGGTGTCACAGCTCACAGCAACCTCAAACTCTTGGGCTTAAGTGATTCTCTTGCCTCACCCTCCCAAGTAGCTCTGATTACAGGCACCCGCCACAAGGCCTGGCTATTTTTTGTTGCAGTCATCATTGTTATTTTAGCTGACCCAGGCTGGGTTCGAACCCACCAGCCTCCGTGTATGTGGCTGGCACCCTCCCCACTGAGCTACAGGCCAACACATTTTATGTTTTGATAAGGTTAAATTCTTGGAGATAATGAACCAGTTAGATAAAAGGGTATTACACTCATTTTGTGATTTGATATATACTGCCAAATTGCACTTTAGGAAAGTTGTACCAGTTTATACTGAAAGCAACAGAGAATATCTGTTTTCCCACATTCTTAATAATACCACTTAGCATAATTTTATCTTTGGCAATTTGATGGTTAAATATTGGTCTAATTTTATCTTTCTTTGATGGTGAGGTTGATCATCCTTTTTTTTGCCTTTTGTTTTGGCATTCCTTTCTTAATATTTTTCCTTCTCTAAGATGATTAAAATATTTGCACGTTTTTTGTCAGGATGTTTTGGTTTCACTATTTGTTTCTATTTTGATGTAAGAAGAATTCCAGCTTACCCGCAACCACTGATGGCTAGTTATCAACTTCATTTAGTAAATGACCCTTTCTTCCCTCCTCCTATGGAGGTCCTCAATTATTTATAACAAGAAAAGTCATAAAAGCAGGGATTGTGAGTTGAGCTGTTTAGTTGGTGGTCACCCTTTAGTGAAAGTTTTAAAAATACCCTCAGCTCAGGCCAGGCACAGTGGCTCACGCCTATAATCCTAGCACTCTGGGAGACCAAGGCAAGTGGATTGCCTGAGCACAATCTCTAAAAACAGCTGGGCGTTGTGGCAGGCACCTGTAGTCCCAGCTATTTGAGAAGCTGAGGCAAGAGAATGGATTGAGCCCAAGAGTTTGAGGTTGCTGTGAGCTATGACACCATAGCACTCTACATACGAAGGGCAACAAACGGAGACTCTGTCTCAAAAAGAAAATAATACCCCAAGCTTCAACTTTCAGGTAGTCTTAAAATTAATTCAGTGTACAATGTACCATCATCTGAATAGAGCAGGAATGAAAAACATTAAGCTCTATGGGGTCAGAGAGTAGACTGCATTCTCTTCCTCTGCTGAGTATTTCAGGAAGTAGCAACCAAGGTAAAGCCCTACTTCCAAAAGCTTCTCTTAACTAGCTTCTCTTTCCACCATCTTTGCTATTGCTTTGTTGGGTAAGACATGAATAAAAATTCATAGTTCTTGCGGGGTGAGGTGGCTCACACCTGTAATCCCAGCAGTCTGGGAGGCTGAGGTAGGCAAATCGCCTAAGCTCGTAAGTTTGAGATCAGTCTGAGCAAGAGTGAAACCCCATCTCTAAAATAGTCAGGCATTGTGGCAGGTGCCTGTAGTCTGAGCTACTCAGGAGGCTTAGGCAAAAGAATTGCTTGAGCCCAAGAGTCTAAGGTTGCTGCGAGCCATGACACAATAGCACTCCACTAGGGGCGACAAAGCATGACTCTCAAAAAAAGAAAAAAAAAATTATAGTTCTTATATGCAATGACTTCAAGTTTTTTAACGAATAAAAAGCGAAACAAAACTTATTTTAAAATTGCATCCTAACCAATTTATTGTTGCTTTCATTTTTTTTCTTTTTTTTTTTGGAAGATTAGAATCATGGCAGGACCAGAAAGTGATGCCCAGTTCCAGTTCACTGGAATTAAAAAATATTTCAACTCTTATACTCTCACAGGTAGAATGAATGTAAGTATTAATGATACCATTAAGCATTTGTATTTTAGAAAAATATAGATGTGAAACAATTCTTGTTTTTTTTTTTTAGTGTGTACTGGCCACATATGGAAGCGTTGCTTTGATAATCTTATACTTCAAGTTAAGATCTAAAAAAACTCCAGCTGTGAAAGCAACATAAATGGTAAGAAGTTGGCATTTAAAAGTTTATAATTTTGGCTTAGCGCCTGTAGCACAGTGGCTATGGAGCCAGCCACATACACTGAGGTTGATGGGTTCAAACCCGGCCCAGACCAGCTAAAACAACAACTGCAACAAAAATAGCCAGGTGTTGTGGCAGGCGCCTGTAGTCCCAGCTACTTGGGGGGGCTGAGGCAAGAGAATTGATTAAGGCCAAGACTTTAAGGCTGCTGTGAGGTGTGATGCCACGGCACTGTACCAAGTGCGACCTAGTGAGACTCTTGTCTCAAAAAAAAAAAAAAAAAATTCAGCACCTGTAGCTCAAGCGGCTAAGGCACCAGCCACATACACCAGGGCTAGTGGGTTCGAATCCAGCCTGGGCCTGCCAAAGAACAATGACAACTACAACCAAAAAATAGCCAGGTGTTGTGGTGAGCGCCTGTAGTCCCAGCTACTTGAGAGGCTGAGGCAAGAGAATTGCTTAAGCCCAGGAGTTGGAGGTTGCTATGAGCTGTGATGCCACGGCACTCTACCCTGGGCTACAGCTTGAGACTCTGTCTCAAAAAAAAAAAAAAAGGCTTATAATTTTGGGGAATGATCATATATGGAATAAAGTTTATAATTTAAGCCATTTTGATGTTAGGTTTTTTCCCCCTCTCTGAAAGTGTAAACCATAGCTGGGCATTGTGGTGGGTACCTGTAGTCCTAACTACTCAGGAGGCTGAGGCGAGAGGATCACTTGAGCCCAAGAGTTTGAGGTTGCTATGAGGCTATGATGCCAAGGCACTCTACCAAGAGTGACAAAACAAAACTCTTTAAGAAAAACAACGTGTATACCCTTGTCATTTTGCAAAAATGATTGCATACAAGAAAAAAGGAAAAATGTATTGCCCTTATCCCATTACCCTGACAATTTTTGTTAACATTTTGGTTTAGCTTTTTTTTTTTTTTTAAAGTATCTTATTTGGCTTCCAATAGCTATGATCATGTATGGTCATGTCTACAATTTTGTCTTAGAATAAGTATATATTCTTTATAAATTGAATGTATGGGTATTCACAAATATATGAATTAGTTCAGAGGTATCTGTCTCCTATTAGAATTTGTTTATATATGTAAAATAGTGAATGCTTCTGAGCATAAAGCATTTGCATTTATGATTATTTTCTTAGGATAAAGCTTTCCCAAACAATTATGGGGGCCCAGCTTTGTATGTTTTTTGCCCTAGCCAGAGTGGAATAATACCAATTTCTGATTTTTGCTAATTTGATGAGTAAAAAAATTGTCTCTTGTTTTTCAATAAAGCACTTTTTTTTCCATTACCATTTGTATTTTTCTTCACATCTTATTCATTTCCTTACTTAAAAATTGGGTAACTTGTATAGGTTCTTTATGTATGATTTACCAACCTTTTATCAGTTGCAGGTATTTCTTATTATTTGCTAGTTTCAAATGTTGATATAATTCTATCTTTAAATTCTCATAGGCTTCATATTCTTACAGTCCCCACAACTCCTATTTACCCTTCCTTAAGTGAGTAGGTATCTGTTATGTTGGCAACAGATGGTGTGTGGAAAGCCCAACATCTAGTTTTTTGTTTCTTTGGGGTTTTTCGAGACAGCGTCTCAAGCTGTCATCCTGGGTAGAGTGCTGTGGTGTCACAGCTCACAGCAACTTCTAACTTTTGGGCATAAGTGATTCTCTTGCCTCAGCCTCCCAAGTAGCTGGGACTATAGGCACCCGACACAACACCTGGCTATTTTTTTGTTGCAGTTGTCATTGTTTAGTAGGCCTGGGCCAGGTTTGAACCCGCCTGCCTTGGTGTACATGGCCAGAGCCCTGCCCACTGAGCTACAGGCACTGCCCTAGATCTTCATTTATTGTAGTTCTTTCACAGTTTTCTTCTCTTCTTAAGAGGTTATAACTGGGCATGGTGGCAGACATTTGTAGTCATATGTACTTTTGAGGCCAAGGTGGGAGGATCACTTAGCCCAGGAGTTAGAAGTTACAGTAAACTATGATTAAGCCATCATACTCCAGCCTGGGCAGCTGAGTAAGACCCTGTCTCAAAAAATAACAAGAGCCTTTCCAATCTCAAAACTATTGGTTTAAGGGAATGCATATCCAGGAATGCAATGGTCCTTGGCTTATTCCTGACAAACAGGTAGTATTTTGCCCACTTTTCTACATTAGGCACCTCCTGACTTTGGGAAGGTGGTAATATCCCCATTATAAAAATGGAGAAATTATCTTAAGTATTAACAGATGCATTATCTATTTTCTGTTATTTGTAATATTACTTTATATACTAGACTTTTCTGATAGTATGCCTGTAGGATCCATAGTAAATTGTTGGCAGCTTCCTTGCTAAAGGTGGAGTGCTAGTTTAAAATGTATTAAGCTGAGAAACACCTTAATTTTTTGGTGTTAGTAACTCCTCTGAGAATGATAAATTTGCATATAATTTCAAGGGGTTCATGGATAGTCCTGGCATAGTAATTCTTAGATGGTTTAAAAGTAATGTTGAACATATTTGTTTTAAACTTTTTTTGCTTTGTTTATAGGATTCTAAACTGTACTTCATCTATTAAGTTCCCATGCCTGGAGAAGCTAATGTCACCTCATCATGTGATACTCAATTTGTACAATAAATTATGAACCTGGAAAAGCTGGTTGTTTTTATTTACAAGATATCAAAAATATAAAAACTGTACAAAATGCAACAAAGGCAAAAACTGGCAGTGACTTGGTCTAAATCTTTTAGTTTCCCAAAGCAAGGCTCAGTACTGGAGGTAAGCAACTGAAATGTCTATCTGACTTCAAGTGTACTAGGTTGTATGTGTCTGTTTTAGCTGAAGTAGAACATGAAAGCTAAATTTCTTATACCTGGTTTATAGCATGTTTGAGTATACTCAAAACTCACCAGATAGAAATTCAGGTGTCTGTAGATGGTTGTACTTCATCTAAATCTGGAAAAGGAATTATTGTTCACCCTACCAAGTTAACGTACATTCCACTAATCATGGGCCAAGAAAAAAATGTTAGTGGATCATTTAACATAGTACTCTTGAGTGCCCATACAGTAACTACATTTTTACAGTGGAAACATACATGCTCATCAAATTCTTCAGCTAAAATTCACAACACTGTATTAATTATATTTCTTAATTTGAATCTTGAAGCAGGATGAATTATTGAAATTGACTTTTTTCTAAACATAATAAATTAAAATAGCATTTGAACAGAAAATGCATAGTTTCCACACAATCCAGAGCACCATAAATGTCCCTTCCAACAAACATATCTCTTATTCAACTAACGGAAATTAGTTAAATGTGGTTGCTATAGAAATGTGGAACTGTCCAATTCAGATTTTCCAAGCAGCATACTTCCAGATCCATATAGATAAAAACATTCTTTGTAGCTTAAATATTAATCACTGAGGTATTTGCTTTTAGTCTCCCTTTTTCGAACAGTAGCTTCCAGAAGGTCTTTAAATACCGGTGGTTTATTGCGGACTATAAGCTCCTGCAGCTAGAACCAGATTTCTTCGCGTAAAATGGAGGTGTACAACCGGTGTTGATTTGGTCATATATGTTCCCAACAATAACTCCTGTGAATTCTCAGGTAAATTTATGTGCCCAGTGGCTGTAGTAAAGTCATCAGTCTCTAAATCTTCAAATGCTTTGATAGCATCCCATAACCGAACTGTATTATCCATTGAACCTAAAGGGAATTCAACAGAAACCATTAGTTGTATCTATCACCCAGGCTGGAGTTGCAGCCTCAAACTCATGAGCTCAAGCAATCCTGCTTCAGCTTCCCAATGCATTAGGAATACACGTATAAGCTACCACACCCAGGTCACCCATCACATTTTATCCAGTATACCTTATTTACTGTATTATTTTTGGTAAAAAAAAAAAAAATCTAGCAAACTAGTCCTTCTAAAGTAGGGTGACCAGATTTTAACATTTGTTAAGCAAGACAACATGGCCCAGGGCGGGGCAGGGGACTGGGCAGCGCAGGGCCTGACAACATGCAAACTTTGATAAGCAGTTCTTGATAATCACTTCTCAACAATTATTTGTTATTATTACAGTTTAACATTATAAAATTAAAAATAATATAAAACTCATATTCTGGTGAAATAGCCACATGGCAGCCAAAAACCATATATTCCCTTCCTGTTCTCCCACCCATTTGTGCATTCTTTCTAAAAATCAGGACTTTTTTAAAACACCATGGGACACGGGACAAATTGTTAAAAAGCGGGACATCTGGTCACCCTATTCTAAAGAAACCTTTAGGCAGTGCTTTAACCTCAGGAGTCAGTGCATACATAGGATGACAATCTAGAATCATACAGCTAAACAGAAGTTAATCTAAAACAGGACTTGGTTTTACAATTGTCAACACTCAGTGTTTCCATTTAACATACCATTAAAGCCATAATAGTCACTTACCTGATGCCAGAATTTCACCATCTCTGCTAAACCTAAGTGAACAAACTGTATCAGTGTGGCCTTTTAATTCTCCAACCATCAAACCATGTCCAATATCCCAAAGGAGTACTCTGCCATCTGTTGCTCCTGTAGCCAGGAATCTCCCATTGGGAGAAAATGTCAAGGAATGAATTGGTCCCTAGAAAGAAATCCATGAAAGGATTAAAATAGAGTTAAGTATATCTAAGAAGACTGAGACACAACTTTGAAATTTATTGGTATGAATGAATGGTATCTTTTAAATGTATGTTACTGATTTTTTTAAAATATGTTAAGAACAATGTAACCTAAATATTGGACCCTTATATTAATTTGAATAAAGTTTAAAAAAACAAAAATGTCTTGACAACCACCTTGTGTGCTAGAATAAAAGTGTAGACTACCTTGTGTCCAGTGAAGATCCTTACACAGTTACCGTTCAAGACATCCCAGAGCCTCACAGTTCTGTCTGCAGAGCCCGTAGCAACATAATTAGAATTTGGGTGGAATCTGGTACAATTCACATCAGCAAGATGGCCAGCAAATATCCTCAAAGGTTGATAGTGGTCTGTAGCCCAGAGCCTTTTAAAAAATTATTGAAAACAAAAGATGACAATTAGTAGTTAACCATGAAATGCCAAAAATCTATTCAAAATAAATACAGAAACATCCATGTGAAGTGTTTGTTCAAAATGGGTCCCCCTCACTAGTTAACTGAGAAAAAGATTAAATGACAGAATTGGCAATTATTCTTAGGAAAAGAGTTGACCAATTTTTTTGAGAGTAATTGTCTTGGTCACCCAGGTTGGAGTGTAGTGGTATGATCATTGCTTACTACAGCTTTGAATTGGGCTCAAGCAATCCTGAGTGGCCAGAACTACAGGTGCAAACCACCATGCCCAGCTGTGTTTTTAATATTTTCTTGCAGACAGGTTTTTGTTATGTTGCCCAGACTGAATTCAAACTCCTGAGCTCAAGTAATCCCACAGCTTCAGCCTCCTAAATCCCTGGGATTATACATATACACCATCTTGACCAGCTAAAAAAAAATTAAGTTATGTAAGTCCTCATTTTCCCTGTGTACATTTGTTTTCTCTTCTCCTTCCCTACTAGTCTAAACCATAGAAAAGTACTTTCCTCTTGTTTTGGCTATCACATAATTGGTTTCTAACCTGAGCTACTCATCATGAACTTCTAAGGCAATGACACGGAAACATCAAGGTGCTCACAGTGGTAAATAATGGAAGAAAAAGTTAAAGCATGTGATGGGGGCTGAGCTGTTAACAAACTAACTTAAAGAAAAATAGAACTCTGCATAGTTGCAGATAAAATAATGTTCCTATCCCAAATTCATTTTCGTTCTGTTTTGTTTTTTTTTTTTTTTTTTTGAGACAGGAGCCTCAAGCTGTCCCCCTGGGTAGAGTGCCATGGCATCTCAGCTCACAGCAACCTCCAACTCCTGGGCTCAAGCAAGTCTCCTGCCTCTGCCTCCCAAGTAGCTGGGACCACAGGCGCCCACCACAACGCCTGGCTATTTTTTGGTTGCAGCCATTATTGTTGTTTGGCGGGCCCAGGCTGGGGATTCGAACCCGCTACCTTGGGTGTACATGGCTGGCGCCTTAGCCACTTGAGCCACAGGCCCCGAGCCCCAAATTCATTTTCAAATAAGGAACTATAAAGGCTGATGTTCTCAAAAAGTTGATCCTAAATAATGAAAGTGAAAATAAATTAGATTGGAGGTTGTAATTCCAACAAGAAACCATTCTGTTCATTGAACCCCTTCATAAGCTCACAGTGTTCTTACCGAGCTACTCGGTCGTGGCCTCCTGACACAAAATAGTATCCATATGGAGAAAACTGCGTGTCCCATACTGGATAGTTGTGTCCTTTATATCCCACCAAACAAGTAAATGTTTGAAGGCTCCACAATCTAACAGTTCCATCCTCTGAAGAGGAAAGCAGATAGTTCCTAAGAGAAGAGAAAGTGATATATTTGATTCCCAGGATAACTTAGTTATCTGCCCAGTTTGTACATTTGAATATATTAAATGTAGCTAACATGCTACATCTCACTTTTAATTCATACGCTGAATTCACAGTAGTTGAAAATAACCGAACTAATGTTAGCTTTGACACTCCACATACTGAGCACTTACTGAATGAGGTAAGATTATCTTTTTAAAAAACCTTAGCGTCTATTAGGGAGACTAATAGATTCACAGTTCTTTTATTTTATTTATTTATTTTTGAGACAGAGTCCCATTATGTCATCCTCAGTAGAGTGCTGTGGTGCCACAGCTCACAGCAACCTCAAACTCTTGGGCCCAAGTGATTCTCTTGCCTCAGCCTCCCAAGTAGCTGGGACCTCAGGCACCCACCACAATGCCCAGCTATTTCTTTTTTTTTGGAGACAGTTTAACTATGTCGCTCTCGGTACAGTGCTGTCATCACAGCTCACGGCAACCTCAAACTCCTGGGCTTGTGTGATTCTCTTGCCTCAACCTCCCAAGTAGCTGGGACTACAGGTGCCCACTACAACATGCAGCTATGTTTTATTGTTGTTGCAGCTGTTTTTGTTGGTTAGCTAGCCCAGGCTGGGTTGAAACCCACTGAGCTGGGCGCCTCCAACCAGCTATTTTTTTATTGTTGCAGTTGTCATTGTTGCTTAGCTGGCCCAGGCCAGGTTCAAACCCTCCACACTGGGTGTATGTGGCTGGTGCCATAACCACTGTGCTACGGGTGCCAAGTCATCAGTCTTTTTTGTTTGTTTTTTTTTAAGAAACAAAATCTCACTTTGTTGCTCTCTGTACAGTACTGTCATGTCATAGCTCACAGCAACCTCCAGCTCTTGGGCTTAGGTGATTCTCTTGCCTCAGCCCCCCAAGTAGCTGAGATTACAGGCGCCTGCCACACGCCCAGCTTTGGTGCAGTTTGGCCGGGGCCAGGTATGAACCCACCACCCTCGCTCGGTATATGGGGCCAGTGTCCCACTCACTGAGCCAAAGGTGCCATCCCATCACAGTACTTTTAAAAAATGAAAAAACAGACTCAGTCAGTGCCCATTACTCAGTCAGTGAGTAGGGCACCGGCCACATACACTGAAGGTGGCAGGTTCAAGTCTAGCTCGGGCCTGCCGGACAACAATGACAACTGAAACCAAAAAATAGCCAGGCCCTGTGGTGGG